AAATAAATATATCTACTAAATATGATAGTCTTAAAATTACCAACTTGGGGAGGCAGACCAGTTGGCAATTACAAGCACGACCGAGGAGTTGAACTGGAGTCTACCGAGAAACGTGGAAAGAGCAGGAGCTGAACTCGAGACCTGCGGATTTCAAGTCCGGCGCCCTAACCACTCGGGCATGCTGCCTCCGAAACAACAGATAAAGAAACAAACAACTGAGAAATAAACTGAGGGCGAGTAAAATGAGGTATTCAGTTCAGAGAACATTTATTCTCCACTACTTTGGCACACATGTAGCCAACTTTAAATCGAACATACTTGGCATACACTTCCATTCTGAGAAACGTTTAATTATCTATATACATTTCCTTCAAAAACAGGAACTACAAAATGTTTACCTGAAGTATTATTTCTGAAAATCCTCCTCGGATATACGACTAAAATTTGGTCTTTTAATTTCCTAAAGAATAACTCCTATCCCTGAGTCAATCTTTGCCAATACTTGCGATTCACTACTATTAGGCTAAAGAGAAACCATAATTTATTCTCAAAAAATAATTGTATTTCTTTATCATATTAAACCAAACCAAAAAGTGATATGGCCTGGCATTATGTTACGAAATCTATAAAGAAATGAAGCGAGAACAAATTTATGAATATCTTCAGTTCAAATACTATCCCAGTGCGACTATTCCACCCAAGGGTTACGCTCAAATTGCTGAATGAAAACCTTGGATGTTAACAAAAGCATTCCGACAAATTCTCGCTATGAGTAAGGTAGACACTACCGAACAAAAAACGATTGTGACCATGCATTCTTATTGCTTTAACACTTTATTGGTCAATTTGCAAAGAGTTTGCTCGGGTGGCCTTGGTTGGAGTAGTCACATTGCAACTGCCTATTTTCATTTTCTTCGATAGTATTTTTTTTTTTCCCACTGACTTCGGTTTTGTGTCTACTAAGCCTTTAAATTCCTCTCATAAAACGGCTTACAAAAGGTCAAAGCCAATCAGATGCAAAACCAAAAACCACTTTCCCGCGCCTGCCATAGGCTACGTATTTTCCCGCGCTTGCCACACGCTACATATTTTCCCGCGCTTTCCACACGCTACACATTTTCCCGCGCTTGTCACAGATAATATGAATTGATTTGAATTTTGATTGGCTGTAAAAATGCGTTGTGTTATAACTTTGGCTCTGGACAGTTATTAGAGAGCCACTTCAACCAGATATTATCCGCAGTCTCTTCAGTAATTTCCCTTAGTTATTGCTACAATAATCTATATTTTCACGAAGAACTTGATACAATAAAGGTAGTAAGAGATGACGAGCCAGACTGTAGTTCCAACCAAGTTCATTGCCAGTAGATCAGCATGTTGCATGTGACCGCTAACTGTCCAGCTGAATGGAAAGTAATTCCCTAATATTTCACTTCCAACGTAAACTAAAATAGAATTCATTCCTGAAAGAAAAGAAAATATTCTATGATTAACAAGGAAAAAAAAGGAAAATTCATTTCGTATGGTGTCTGGCCTGGTGATTCTCATACCACAATCGCGCGGAAATGCGTCCGCTGTCCACGCAAAGCTGAAACTAATGAACGTTTAGGGGGATTCGACTGTCTCAGTGAGCACTGTACAATAAAATACAACAACTTCATACAGTCTGCATGTAAGAACAATTCTGGTTTACAAAATAACACATGTACGCAATCAATTCAAATGTGTTGTTCGTAAGAACCTGGATGAAAAAAACAACAACAACAACAACAACAACAACAACAACTGACTGCACTCTGTTGTACATTTTTTATGATACATTTGCAAAAATTATAAGTACCAACCTGGGTAACAAAATGGCGCTCCATTCCACCAGCCCAACACATCTATCACCAAGTAACAGAATGAGAGGAGTAGAAATGCCATGCCACCAGTTGCAAAGATAAAAGACACCGACCTGCAATTTACAAAGCCATCATTAATGCTTAGCTGCATCACTCCTACTACTTTTATCCCCTTTCACTTGTTATTTGTTTCCTCCGATCGAGAACTTTTAAAATCACAATAAATGTCTACATGTATGCATTGGTCCTGTGTCGCAGGGGCGGATCCAGGATTTTTCTTAGTGGGGGGTGCACCACTAAGGAATGGCGTAACTGACTGGTGAGGTAAACAAATTTTAAACGCGAATACGAAGAAGGCTTCGTCTCAAGGGGGAGGGGCACCCCCTGCTCCCTCCCCCTAGATTCGCTCCTGTGTCGGTCGTTCCATCATCACAGTCAGATGTAAGAAAAATGCGTAAGGCTATGACTTATCTCATAGACAAATGTTTAATTAAAAACACCATACCAAGCGAGTCCACGCGGGATAGCACAGATCAGGCGAACAATAAGTACAAATATAGTTCGTTGTTTTATTTTATTTACTGTTATTTCCAGGTAAGCTACTGAAGGTATTTTCAACTGATTCACTGCTACCTCTGCCTTGCACAACAACGGTGCAGCTCACTTACCACAAATTCTTGTTTAACGGAATGACGCTGTCATTATTCACGCCAGTAAGTCCAAGAGTGATACCGCCCTGAATGAATTAAACAGCACAAATAACATTAAAATAAAATACTACAACACAATACCACAAAACAAGTGTGTGGGTACTCATGATTTATACAAGATTTCGTATTGTTTCCCTTGAACACAGATGGAATAGTGGTGACAATTGCTATAGCCTCCAATTTCAGTTTTGTCGAGAGTAGCTCATTTGATCGAAATATGACAATCTTTACGCTTAAATGAATACGAAATTACCGGCGTCTTTCCTTAACACTCACCAGTAACACGGACCAATATACCCATCGCTTCATTCTAGCTAAGTGATTGGGAAACGTAAACAAGGTGTAACCTGCCTGTAAAACGTATAGAAGACATTATTAAACAAGACTGTAAAACCAGCACAGATATTGATAACCGATAATCCCTCAAGTTAATTCTACCATGCAAATAACGTTTAACAGAAGCTGAACTTTGAAAGGCTCTAATATGCATAATATGAGTCCAAAGCTAAAAATTACAAATTAAATTTTGCCCTTGAGACTCCACAAGATTTTCCTATCATAATTGTTTAATAAGTTGATAGTGCGATCACTAATGAACATTAAGAGTTATCGCGATACCACGACGGCAAAACAACAACAACAAAAAAATACTTGTTTTGCTTTAAAATAAGCAAAACAGCCAACCAAACAGTTCATACCAACGGAGCTGCGGATAAATACTATGTAATCACACATAAAAATGTACTGGATTTTTGTTTTAAGAGGAGGTTGTTTCTTCAGTTCGCATTTACTTTCGTTTTGCATTATGGCTTATAAAAACACGCGCCATTTTGTCATCCAATCAGAAGAAAAACCAAAACCAATCGTGACTCGCTCGCAAACGTTTCCACGCTCCTCGCGTGATTGCCTTTGTGCTTTGTGATTGGTCAGGTTGGTAACTTTGGTGTTGGTTTTACGACACTCAATTAACACAGGTCGGGAGAAATCTGAAAACTAGATTTTTGAAATTCAAAACCAGACCTGAACTCCCAGAAATACCAAGAAGGCAGATGTCAGGGTACCCAATGCGCCTTCTGGATCATAAGGAACTTTCGTTTTGTAGGTTTCCTGAAAAGAAAAACAACTAATCAGGCATGCGGTAAACTCCTCATCGATCATTCATTGTTCGAATTCCCTGTACATGTAGTTCATGAGAGAAACGCACTACTTCAGGGAAAGAGAAACCTTGTTTTATGTAACAAGGTAAATTGTTCTCGCATATTGATCGGTTCTTACTCATGATCTATTGGAGGATTGATGTATAGATCACGCCATTAACATGTTTTGTGTTTCTTTATTATATAAAACAGAAAGATTCCATGTTGCTGTGCGTCTGTTCAGTAACAGATCACAGAAGAAAGCGTCTAAAGCGTCTAAAGCGTCTAAAGCGTCTCGTCTCATAACCCCTACTGAAATTTCGAGAGAAAAACAGACTGCCAGCAGTCTATTCGGCTAACGTCTCGGGTGCAATTTTTTGTTCTCACCACATTTTGACGTCATCTGTTATCTATTTCTGAACAGACGCACAGGAACATGGAATCTACTTGTCAAATAAATACCATGCAAGTCGGGTGCTGGTAAATGTGATGAGATCCAAAGAAATGTCTATCAATATAACCGGCATTTCCCCCAGTGCAGTTATACGAATAAGGATCAGCAATTCCACCAGGTCCAATGTAACCCCTAAATAACGAAAAAAAAAACAATAAAATGAAATATAAATCAGATATGCTCGCGCTTCGCATAAGTCTATAAACGTGCAATAAAGCATAAACTGAAGTCGTTCCAGTGAAACCCGGTCAAGCATTCTCCCTAAAAGTGAGGCAGTGAACACGAATTTATTTTTCATCTTCAAAGTGGAGGGTTGAAACGAAAAATGAAGTGAAATTCCGATCATAAACCAAACTTTCAAGCCTAGGTTCTTCTGATAAATAAAAATTACAATATTTAGATAGGGGCTGATAACCGGAGTACCCGGAGAAAAACCCTCGGGGCAAGCGAGAACCGATAACAAACTCAGCCCATACAAGATACCTGGTGGAATCGAACCCGGGACACAATATGCATTGAAACCTGAAGATTGTGAGAGAATATATATATATATATACTCACCGCGGACAGCCAGACATTTGAAGGGCAAATGTGACAATAACATAGATTGCCAACACACCGAGCATCACCAGCCACTGACCCCAAAGTGCTACAATGTCTCTAACAGGATTCCACCACGAACCCACCGGCTGTAGAGTTTAAAAGCATTTTACTCACAGTTATTGTACAATTTCAATGAACAACACTTTATCCTTGGCTAAGAATTCAGTCTATACTGCACATTCACGACAACGTCACAGACGAGTGTCACAGACAGATTCACAAATGAACAGAAAGACCGACTGACTGACTGACTGACTGACTGACTGACTGACTGACTGACTGACTGACTGGTTGGTTGACAGATTGACTGACTACCTGACTGACTGACTGGCCGACTGACTGTCTGTCTGTCTGACTGGCTGAAAGACTGACTGGCGCAGACTGACTGACTGACTTTACTGACTGACAGACCAAAGAGCAACAGACGACAAACCTACAGACAGACAGACAGACAGACAGACAGACAGACAGACAGACAGACAGACAAACAAACAGACAGACAGATGGGTAGGTGGATGGATGGACAGAGGGAGAAACAACAAGAAATACACAGCAGGCAATAAACTGGCAAAGAACAAACAAACGAAAAGCAAAGAGAACAAAACCCTCCAAAAAGAGAGGAGTTTAAGAAGGTATTTACCAAGACAGAATCCATCCCAGGATTTATGACTAGTTGAAGTAATGCAATGATAAAGTAACAAGCAGCAAATCTTTGCAGAACTCCAGGTATCCTGTAGAGAGCAAGGTCTGCATCTATACATGTAGAGCGATGTATGACATATTAGAACAGACTTCAATGCATGCATGGTAAGGAAACCTGCATTTCCCTAGCCCTTCGAATTGTTAAATAATGTTAGTACAATAGTACTTATTGTAACTTTGCAAAAACAGACTCTACGTATAATCACATTCTCGAGACGAGATGCTCAGTCCAGGCCTTTATTTTCACAGTTAGGCTTAATTAAATTCATGGATCTGGTTACTATGCAAACTGCCGTTTTTATGTTTCAGTATTACCATAATCTATTACCTAAGGTCTTTGAAAATTACTTTACCTGCATGTCATCTAAACATAACTATAATACTAGGCTAGCATCTAAGTCAACACATTATATCGACCAGGTTAGAACTAACTATGGTAAATTCTATCTACATTTCTCTGGTCCTTCTATCTGGAACAATTTGGATGAAGAGATAAAAAGTTTATCTCCGCGTTTATTTAAACAAACCTTGACTAAGCAATTTC